TTTACTTTGTTTGTTGCTACAGTGGACTTAACCATCGAAGCATTGATTAGACCAAAAAGGGTAAAACAGCAACAGGTGTTTGCAGATAGGCATTACTCTTTTTAGAACTTCCAAAAAAGCAAAGTATGTAGTAGAAAGCAATCGTTAAAATTATAGTTTAAAGTCTAAAGAATGATAAGCTCTTTTTACTAATTTGCCTTTTTTACAAGGCACTCTGGGTCTTAATTAATGCTTGATTATACGTACAAGAATAAGCTCCATTCAACGACTTTGCTAGCCGTAGAAGATATTTCACTGTACTAAAAAGAAGAGTCCAAGTACCATTACAACTACTGGCGGTTGAAGTCATTATGGTGCCAGGAATTCCTTGGTGCTCTCCCAGGGTTAACAGTCAAACCATGTGTAAACGAATTGACTACTTACCTGCCTTACTTAACAAGCTGGCCTTGCGAGGCACAACATGTTCCGGCTATGGCTACAGTTTTAGAGGTATCATCACAGTCTGATTTAGACATTTTTTCCCAAGGTCTACTAGTGTCCTTCTTAAAACATTTTACAAAGCAATATTAATGACAGTGACAGAGACAAATCAGAACAGATAAGAAATAAGTGATGAAGAGTAGACAAGAGAGAGGCAGAAAGAGAAAGTAGATCTACAAAACAGTGTGTGTGTATGTCTGAAGGCACAACAGGGTACGAAGTGCTAAATGATGAATGTTCGACTGGTTTTCATGGTGATTGCTCTTTATTTGCACCAGTATAGCACCTGTGTTTGCCCTGATGCACCCCTTCTAATGTATACCATTTATAGTATTAACTAGTACCTGAGTGAAGACCTACCATGGCCAAACAGCAAATAGTCCAGGTTAGTACATCTTCTCGTCAGCTCCCCTTTACTGTGAATTGAGTGGAAGGATAGGGGTGTCCTAATGTTATTCCCTTGCTAAGGCCTCTTGATCCAGCTGTGAGAGAGGGCGTAGGATGAACATATTTCCTGTATTATACAATTGGTTCTACTACTTAGTACAATATCTATTACTCTACTAACCAGAAAAACAGCCACCACGATATCGCCGTGATCAGATCAGACCTTTATCCTACTTTTTTTTTTTAATACTCTTTTTGTACCGTACCTGAACTGGAATACTATTCTGTTTAACAGGAGATTAAACAGAATATATGCAAACATAGGTGTTTGTCTGCTTCACAGAGCCTCTTCTGTACTACGTTAGCTTATAAGACTCTCTGTCCTCAGAGTGGGCAAACATAAATATTAGTAACCTAATTTAAGTGGGCGACTTCACGAGAGAGCAAATAAAAGAATTGGGTTTGGAATTTCCTGTGAAACTATTCTCCTCCCCCCTGCACACATTCCTAATTCTTCATAAATACCCCAATGTTATTTTCTAATGTTGAAAATGTTCCATGGGTGTTTATAAAATTCTCTAAGAACAAAAAAAAGAAATAACACAGATATATTTGGCATGGCGATATATTGGCGGGTGCTTTTTTTAAATTTACATATCCTGAAAAGCTGTTCACTGTGCCCTCTAGATTGGAACATTGCTGTGTTATTTTTTAAGCAGATGTTCTTAACTACAGGGATACAAATAGTTTTGACAAATAACAAGGCAGAGTTAATAAATAACCTGTCCTTCTGCCATTCTCTAAACCACTGGGAACATTTTTGAGCTGCTCACATGATAAAATACATACGCTTGCATAATAACATAAGGTGAGAAAGGCAAGTAATCTGGTCATATTAAATATTTTAATGGAGTGTTAATTCGCTTGTTATTATGTATTTATTTTCTAATGCTATTTATGATTCTAAGCGTTATGCTATCTCTTTGTAGATAAATAGATAGATAGATAGATAGATAGATAGACAGACACTCATTAGATTTCAGAACCTAGATTTTCAAAGTATTATGGGAAATGAAACAGCTAGAGAGCTACGATTTGGGCACCCCTGTTTAAATTTTGAAAATGAATAATCTTACAACATCTTAATCAGAGTGTCATTATCTTGGTTATGTACTTGTATTACTACTATATTTTATAATTATAAAGCCAAGTTTTCAGACAAAGGCCTACATTAGGTTGAAACATGGCTTTACATTGTTATGGCACAATAAACGAGAAATACTATTTTTGAAATTAACATTTAAGTATGCTGTTTCCTATGTCGGTTAAATAATAGATACTGCCTATATTTTCATTTTGCTCATTACAAAAATAACCATCTTACTCTTTGGTTCTATATCGGCATAAATTAAGATAATTTACAGTTATGCTATAACTACTGCAGTTTGATCTCAATAAAATGTTTGCCTTCGTTTCAGCTTTGAACGAGCTGATGCATATATGCAAATTGAGATCGGATTGTGATTAATTTACTCTCAAAACAGAGTGACAGCAGATTAAAGAATGGAAGGAATAGAACATCCAGTGACATAGAGCTTGTCATGAGATATACATTCATCTCTGCTGGTACTCTACTTTGCAGTAATGTTGTGTGGTTACTCTGTTATCTAATGAGGTTTATTTTGTAGGACAAGATTTCATGAGTTCACAATGTTTAGTATTCCAAGAAGCTGGGGAATTGTCTATGTCTATTTTTTTACATCACAAAGTAACTTAGAGAGCTTATTAACTAAGCAATGAATTGTGGTGAACTGATCATCTTGGCTATTTGAAATTAAAATTGGCTGTTAGAGAATACCTTTACGTTTTGACATTTTTGTAGAACTGAAAAACACTAAAAGATAGCCGTAGTATGCATTTTCTGCCTTTTTGTTAAAATAACACTGATTTACATTAAATGTGAGGCTGTCAAGGCACAGCATGGCATACAATGCAAATCAATGTTATCCCATGATGAGTGCCTGCCATGCTATAGAATGAAATGTCTGTGTGT